TACTTACAGTGAAAGAATGGTTTATTAAATAAGTGTTCATGAGTAAGTAGCCATAAAAATTCAATACATAAAATTCTCCCGTTTAAACGGTACCGTTTCGTTTACTGCTGTTCGTTTAAATGTTTAAAAATTCAGTAAACGTTTCACCCTTATTACAGAATCCATAAGATCATTGTGTATACATTTTATTTCAATGAATTTCAAAACTAATATATCAGAGATACACTGGTTTAAAAGCTAAGCAGTAAAAACAAAACCTAAACCTGCCAAATAATAAAACATAGTCGTTCCCAAGCCCGAAAAAAGGTGAGGGTTATTTTTTAGATTGCTTAGTTAAGATATCACTTAAAAAAACTATGTACACATTCAACATTCGATAATATATTCATACTATTCGCACAACTGAAAGATGCTCTGCCTCCTTATTCAAATAATACAATGACCTACATAGCCCCAATGACTAAGTTGAGCTTTAGCACTGATGTATGCAATTTTATTTCTTTAATACTATGTAAAGGGTGTTAAGAAAGTTCGTTCCACATTTTTCTTTTATTTTCGAAAAGAAATTTGATGAGAAGATATTTACAATTTGTGATATTTCATGTTTACAGAGTCCATTCTTTCTACTGATTAGGTTTTAACATAGGTCGCGGGTTTGCTGACGTCATTAAAACTGGGTACGCAATTTATTTGATTTGGGCGACTTTCTTGTGCACATCTGAATATGACGTCACAATGCGAAATGGAAAAATTCAGTACATCATCTAGCTATAACTTTTGTTGAAATTGGTAGTTTAGACAACTTTAGTGTAACAGTACTTATAGAACATGCTAAAGTTATAAAAAAAAATAATGAAGGCTTATTTCGATTCGAATGACCAACACTAAGATTATTAGAAAGTGTTTCATGATGTGTTTTATATCACATGTTCTCGGCTCTATTCTGAGAGCACATGCTCTTGTTTCGGAAATAAATTTTAACCCTTAGTATAAATATAACACAGGGTATCTAACTCCGAATTACACTCAGTGCCCCCTCCTCAGAAACACACTCATTTACACTTTCAGAGGAAAGGCTCTAACAAACTGTTTATTGTCTTCTACGATAATTTATCTACACAACCATATATGGCATGCATGTGTTTGTTTTCTCTTATCTCCATAAACTGCAGCATCAAAACTCTGCTTGCCGATGGAAAGTCGAATTCATTTATAAATGGTACGTGCTAATCTCGGACAAAGAGCAAAATTACAAAAATGAGTGAGTTAAAAAATTCAATTCCATATTTTAAAAATTGCACTCAATAAATAAAATTTGGGAAAGTCTTATTTTCCATAAGTCATTATATTTAACATTGCAAATGCACCGATTACATAAAAAGTTTAAACTTATTATTTAAAAAGAACATTTGAAAAATATATATACTGGTTGATCACATACTAATGAAACATAAACTAATCCATTTTTTGAGTGGCATTGACCATTTGTAAATAACCCAGGCACGTAGGATATGACAACTCCCTCCATTCCATTTTTTTCTTGCTAAAGTCGGGGATGAGTAAACTTTTTCCAATATTTGTATTATTACTGAACGCTACCCTATATGCAGTTGATTTAATCAAAATATTTACTAATCAGAGGCTCATAAAAAATTAAATGGAAATCTGTAAAGGAAGAAGAATGTGTTTCAAATTTATTGATATCTGCATATTCCAAAAGTTCCTACGCTTTAGATTATGATAAAGTGAAGATTAAGTGAGGCAGATGACGAGAATAAAAACAAATTGCAAGCCATCTTTTTTTTTAAAATATCAGTCAAAAACGAAATACATGTATTTAAAGACAGCATAAAGAGATAAAAGGGTAACATTATTAACACATGCAATACGTATTAAAAATCCAAAACAGGAAAAACCCCAGAAAAATGGAAAGGGATGGGGGGTTCGATACCCCAATTGACTGTGTAAGTAATGGCATACGTTGTTGTTAGTTACATGTACATATTTTTTTCGCTATGTTGCTTTCCATGTTCATTCAATAGAATTAATGTTTCATGTATACGAGAGTCTAAGAACAAAATAAAATCTGCCCGTTGATTACGCCAAATAAATTTGATGTTAAGATTATTCCAATTTACTCCTCTGAAAATTCCTTGTACGTTTTTTTCCTATCCTTATATGTAATAAGCTTAAAAAAAATTTCAATTTAAGATTTATTTTAGTTAATCGCTGCCTCTATGTAAACTTAGATAAAAATATTTTCAATATATACGCTGAATGCATTTATACATGTACTTATACCCGGGACAATATTTGGTGGAAATTCATTCATAGGAAGTTATCGTTGATTTTAGTACCTTGTTGAATTTTCTAAAGAAAAAAAAATATATAAAACTTTTTTAAAAAAATCATATTTAGGGGGGTTGGGGGAGGGTTGGTGTGTCAGTCCTTGACTTCTAAATTATCTTCATACCTATGACTTTTCAGACAAACTTATCAAAGATCTGGGATTTCAACAGGGAGGGGGGAAGGGGTCTGCCTCTTCCAGAAGGGAATACAAGGTTACTTTTATTTTGCAAACCGTTGAGAATCTGCGCATGAAGAAAACAAAACAAAAAGAAAAGATTCGATAAGAAATCAACACGTAAGGAAAATATTAAAAAAAGAAAAACTAAAGGACTGATTGATGGTTTATGGCCTTTTGCAAGAATTTTCACTAACATTTGACGTAAAGAGGAAAAATGGCTTACAATATTTTTATTTCTTTATAGAATTATTATGATATTGGTCATTTGCAAGCAGATAGACGTGAGTTTCCTTTTTTTAAAATCAGTATAATTTTTTTTGCTCTGTGTACCTGATTGATATTCAGGACGTCAAGCATGACGTCGCTTTATTTTATGACGTCGTTCTTAAAAATGCTACATTTTTCTATATAAAAGCAATTATCAACAATTAAGTTATGAGAAAATGAACCCAAAGACATATTAATTTTTTCACATAGATTCATTTCATATCAATTCTAGTTTTAAATACCAAAGGATAAACAAATTCATCTGCATGATTTAAAAGTTATTGATATTTTTTAAATCAAAGCCTTGCCTGAAAACAAGCCAAAAACGATGTTTTTCCTATACAATTCAATAAGATAACGCCGAAAATGTTACTACAACAATAACAGGTTTGGAATTAAATAACACAAAAACGGTGCAGACGAATTTAATAAAATTTTCAGAGAATGTAAATCGAAGGTAGAGGAATCATATAACCAACTTTCATGGTATGTTTTCGAACACTTTTAAAAGCCCTGCAAACCCGCGACCTACATTAACTGTCTTTTGTTGAATCAATAAGGGGAGGGCAGGTATTTAAAAAGATTATATCTTTTCAGAAAAATTAGAGATGACGTATACTGTATATACTCGCCTATAAGTCGGTATTTTGGGAGTTAAATATTGGTCAAAAACTCTATGTCTGACTTATAGGCGAGTCATAAAGAGATTGCTATTTTTCTGGATGCTTAAAAGTAGTATCTTATTTGCATTTCCGACGATTATCAAAGAAAATATCTGGATATATACATGTAAGATAATTTATGTATTCTTTGATTATATATAATCATAAAGTACAAGTATTAACATATTTTAATAATTTTTTTTTTGTATTTTAAGTGAGCATTGCCTTTTTGTTTAATAATTTATGATTAAATATCAGTGTCATTTCGAAAAATATAAACTGAAACCAGGTTAAAACATCATTGGATTTACTTGAAATTGTCACTAGATTTTAGCAAGAAATTGTACCGACTTATAAGCGGGTCAATAGCAAATCCGACAAAATAACGTAAAAAACATACATTCGACTTATAGGCGGACCAACTTATAGGCGAGTATATATGGTATTTGTGACATTATGATAAGTACAGAGGTCAAAACATCCTTTCAAATATTATGCGAAAACTATTAAATCTGTGAAAAACTTCAAATTTTGAAAATTGATCTATCGTTCCTTTACCTACACTTATCAGCAAGTCTGATGCAAGTTAAGCTATGAAGAAACAAAAGTAAATTATCCTTTATTTTCACTCAAAATGGCCAGCATTTCTATAATTTGGGTGCTTTGAAGATTATATAATATATGTTTCCATTTGGAAGAAAAATCATATAATTCCCTGCTAGAAATGAATTGCTCTAAATCTAAAGCACACTCTTGTGATTTTGTCAGACTTGAAAATTAATCTCTTTAATTAAGCACTACTTTGAAATTTTTGAAAATATGTTATTCCGGAAAGAACTTTCTTAACACTCCTTATATATTGAGAGTCTCACTATCAAAAAAGATTTAGTTTATGTATTCATATCATACATTGAACATTTGAGGTAAAATCTGTCAATGTTCTGCTTTGAAAAGGTAAAAATCCATGATAAAAAAGGGGTCAGATCACAATGTTATGAAGATTCATTCTTAAGTTTTTTACGAATGGAATAGACAGATGCATAGATAAACAGGAAGTTGAAATCAGATTTGGTCAAATATAAATCCCAACATATGGCATGCCTAAACAAAGAGTGTGCTAAAGTTTCCAGCATTTGTTGCTGAGAAAATTGCAACCAAAAATTTGTTATGGACAGACAAACAGCTAGACAGACGGACAGACAGACGGACAGACAGATGGACGCCAGACAAAATGTGATCAGAAAATTTCACTTGAGCTTTCAGCTCAGGTGAGCTAAAAATTTGAATCTACACTACCCCAGAAAACTTCTACATAGGTTTCAGCTTTTCTGGCCCAGTGGTATTTCAATGTTAAACTTGGACTGTAAAAAAAGGATGCTTTGTACCAAGTTTGGTATAAATTGGCCTAGTGGTTCTTGAGATGAAGTTGAAAATGTGAAAAGTTTACAGATGGACGGACAGAACGACGACAGACAATAGGTGATCAGAAAACTAACTTGAGCTTTCAGCTCAGGTAGCTTAAAAACACACACAACATATCTCACTTTGTTTGGTTGCTTTGGTTTTGGTTTGACACTGATGAAAACATCCAGCTGCTCCATCAAGTGAGTAACATGTGCTGAAAAAAAGCAAACAATCATGCATTACTTTCAGAGAGTACTGAAACTATGTAAAATGGGCCACCCATTCCAAGAATACCCTGGATGTGATGGAGGAGGGACTTTTTGGTATCAATTATGAATAGCATATTTCTTGACTAATAGCATGCAGACTTGCTATTCAAGGAAATTAAAACCCATGTGACATTACCAGTATAGAAACTGACCAACATGCTTATATCACTCATAATTTAAAGCAAATTTACTGTCAATGCATAAAATAAACAAGCCACCGAAGGGCCTTGAATCGCTATTCAGATAAATTGTAAAATCTATCACTTCTGTTAGAAGCCTCTAACTCTAAGTACCAAAGATGCATGAACTGACAATGTTTAATGATTCTTAGCCAGTTAGGACTGAACATATTTCAGTATACCTATAAAATACCATTAGAAGGTCATGGTGAATTTCTTTTTGATTAAAAATTTTCTGAGGACTCAAGATGCATTATTTGACCAAAATGATGATTCTAAGCCAATAAGTTCCCGAGTAAGCAAAAGTATGTCACTGTGACCTACTTTATGGTCAACATTCTCCGAAAACCCAAGATGCATCAACTGATAAAGTTTGACGATTCTAAGCCATTAACTGCCCCTTATACTTAAATAATGCAATAAAATGTCACAAGTAGGTCATCATGACCTACTTTTCAGACGACATTCTCCAAAAACCCAAGATGCATCAACTGAACAAGATGTGTTTGTGAAACACTATGCGCCAGATGGCAACAAAATTCGAAAAAGCTATTTAGAGTACATAGGTGACAGTCAAGGTCACAAGGTCGTTGACCTTGGTGTCATTTGAAAGAACTTGATTAGTCGAGTATGCACACCAAATATGAAGTTTATATCTTTCATGGTTCAAAAGTTATGGAGAAGGTTAAAGTTTGCAGAAAAAAGCTATTTTTGGCATATAGGTCATAGTCAAGGTCACAAGGTCATTGACTTTGGTTTCATTTGAAAGAGCTTCATTAGTGGAGTATGCATATTAAGTATGAAGTCTCTATCTTTCATGGTTCAAAAGTTATTGCGAAGGTTAAAGTTTGCAGACAAACAGACAAACAAACAAACAAACAAACAGACAAAAAGACAAACATACAGACAGGACAAAAACAATATACATCCCGGATCTATTGATCCGGGCACATAAAAAGTTTGATGATTCTAAGCCAATAAGTACCTGAGTTAATTAAAAGTAGATCATTGTAACCTACTTTTTGTTTGACATTCTCTGAAAACCCAAGATGCCTCAACTGACAAAGTTTCACAATTCTACGCCAATAAGTACCAAGGATACTTGAATATAGCCATAAAAATTCAAAACTAGGTCACCATAACCTACTTTTAAGTCGACGTTCTCCGTAAACCCAAGTTGCATGAACTGACACAGTTTGATCATTCTAAGACAATAAGTACCTAAGATACTTATATATAGCCATAAAATGTCAAAAGTAGGTCACAATTTTTTTCTTTTGGTCGACATTTTCCGAAGACCCAAAATGCATCAACTGTCAAAGTTTGATGATCATAGGTCTGAAGGTATTCAAAATATGCCTTTTAAACAATTTGAAAACAAATGCCTGCAAAATTAAACAAAAGGCCCAGGGGCTATATCGCTGACATGAGCTGTGGCTATGTTAAACTAATAGCAAAATTCACTTCAGTATTTAACAAGAGGCCCAAGGGCCTTGAATTGCACTTCTTATAAATTGTACAATCTATCACTTTTACTTGAAGCCTCTAATTCTAACTATCCCAAGATGCATGAACTGACAAAGTTTGATAATTATTAGCCAGTTAGCTCAGTTAACTCAACATGCATTAAATGACAAAGATTGATGATTCTAAGCCAATAAGTACCCGAAATATTCAAAAGGAGGCCACTTTGACCTACTTTTTGGTCAATGTTCTCCGCAAACCCAAGTTTTGCATCAACTGACAAAGTTTCATGATTCTATGCTAATAAGTATCTAAGATACTTAAATATAGCCATGAGACCATGCCTTTGCCCCAGGGTCATGCCTTGAACAATTTTTAATCTTCAACATATCCTGATCCTTGTATGGATCCTTGTAAGCAAGTTTGGTGAAAATCTGCCTGGTGGTTCTGGAGAAGAAGATTTTTTAGCAACCAGTACTTTTGGTTTTATTTTCCTGATTATCTCCCCTTGTTTTAGGGTCCCACCCCCTAGTTTTATTATAAATGGTAGCCCTTGGGCCAAGGATACCCCATGACAAAGAGCTAGGTTCACTTTATGCATTAAATGGCCCTGTAGTTATATCGATTAATTAACTATCACCCTCTTTCCCATTTCATAAATCAAAATAAAGTAGACACTTGGTGCTTTCATTTCCTATAATAAAATTTCTTTTTGAGAGTCCAGATATTGGAAAACAACTTTGAGAAATTGCAATATTCTTGAAATTTGCAGAAAACATGCATATCTGACTACCTTCAGGAAAGAATTAAAATATGAGCACAGTCCACAATCCAAAAAATAAAACATATGGTTTGATCTTCAGAAACAGATCTTTCATTATGTATTTGCAAATTTTTTGGATCACAGGTTGTGCTCTGTATGAAATATTGAAAAAATACTTAAACTTTAGGCCATTTTCAAAGGAATTTACAGGATATGAAGAAAATGACACATTTTATGATGTCATAATGCATTGACTAGAGGGAAAATTATGTCATGATAAATAGATACATGGTCACCAACACTCCAAGTGATGAATGCTGCATTTGCAACCTAAATTGAGTGGTTTTGCTTTTTCGGAAATTCTCAGGGCCAAATTAGGTCCAAAGTGGCTCTTGCTCTTTGACAATGATTGGCCAAGGGGTTCTTGAGTTAAGGCCCATATTCTAAAAAGTTAAAGCACACCACACAAATGGCCACAGGATTAGCTCTTTGAGCCTTTGGCTCAGAAGAGCTAAAAATTTAAATATAAAGGTGGGTTCAAGTGGGATCATGATTTGAACAAACTTATAGATCTACACCACATGAGGATGCTTTCATATAACTATTCCCAATCATAACTTTGTTGTTCTCTAGAAGAAAATTTTTAAGATTTTGCCCATGTATTCCTATGTTAAACTTTGACCCCCATTGTGGCCCCATCCTACCCCTGGGGATCATAATTTGAACAAACTTGAACCTGCACTACCTGAGGATGCTTCCAAATGAGTTTCATCTTTGCTGGCACAGTGGTTCTTGAAAAAAGATTTTTAAAGATTTTCCCTACATATTCCTATGTTAAACTTTGACCTCCCTTGTGGCCCCATCCTACCCCCAGGGGTCATGATTTGAACAAACTTGAATCTACACTACCTGAGGATGTTTTCACATGAGTTTCATCTTTCAAAGATTTTCCCAATGTATTCCTATGTTAAACTTTGACCCCCTATTGTGGCCCAACCATACCTCCAGGGGTCATGATTTGAACATACTTAAATCTACACTACCATAGGATGCTTCCACATGAGTTTCATCTTTGCTAGCACAGTGGTTCTGGAGAAGAAGATTTTTTAAAGATTTTCCCTATGTATTCCAATACTAGTCAAAATTTCTAAGTCCCAGGCAAGTTTTTGCTTTACACCGCTCTTATATTGAATTATTTTAACAGTATAATAAAATAAGTATACAGAAAAAAAAAAGAAGCGAAACAATTTTTCTCACTTAATTTATTTTATTGTATTCCCCAGTCCTCCAGTTTGACATTGAGGGGAGGACACTTCTGGTTCCAGTTCCATTAATTTTTCTGGATAAATTCTAGGATGATTTTGTGGCATTTGTTGAAAATCTAGCAATTTCTAATTATTAAAAGGAATTAAGGTATGCTTTGTGGGTTTTTGGGGCGGTAATTATAAAGGTTTTAAGTAAAATAAAGTCATACTGTGAAAGAAACAGAACTATCGTTAACTACGACCAGCTTGGGCTATTTCAACTTCACTTGCACATTGTTGTGTGGACATACACTGCATTTTATTCAAACATTTTTCTGTTTTTCGTTATCAATTAAAGATGGAAAACACATGGAAGTAAAAAATATGAAGAATTCCCTTACAGAAAAAACTAATAGAAACTTAGAAGTTTTGTATAATCCACTCATAAGTATTTATTAGTCACTCATAAATTTTAAAATTTACTTATAAGTGTACTATAAGTCAACGTAAGTATAAGTGATGAATGTATTTCGTTAATACGTCACTTATACCGTAATTTTCGGGTTATAGGTCGATACTTTTTTCTCAGAACCGCTGGGGTCGCCCAATATACGAATTCGACCTTTCTAAGGCTCAAGTTTACGAAAAATGCCCCAAAATCAATAAAATTTACGTAAATTTCAGAGCAAATCGGTGCCACTTTTATAACTTTTTTCATTATTTTACGCAGAAAAATTAATGCCTAGGTAAACAATAAAATATTTATTCTATAGCTTTCTAACAAAATAAATTCCATTAAATATCCGTTGATGACAAAGGAAAAAACTGTGCTTCATCAAGTTAATAATTCCTCAACGTGTTATCCATTGCCATCATGCGGTAGCCATCTTGTGAAGTTAGGAAGTCGCTATCGTTTACTAAAAGTAAAACCGCAACCGCGTATCAAAATTTAAAATACGGAAATTTTTTCAAGATCACAAGTGTAGTGTTTTACCATTAATAAGTAGATTGATAAATTGAAATAGTATTAATTTTTTTATTGTAAAAGTCTTATATTTATTTTAATGTAAAATGAGTGAAATAAATTGTTGCCAGTCAATTCCTAAAAATCGTTTAGAGAGATAGTTTTAAGATTTACAAGCAATTATGGAAATATACATGCGGATGATAAAAAATTAATTTTATTGATATGGAGTTTTACAAGCAAAGAATTAGTAATAAATGCAGGTTACAGAAATATGATTTAAGACAGAAATATAATTTTAACTGATATTATAAGGTTTATTAAAAGCTTC